ACCTCTTGAAGCGTGAGGTAGGAGCGTTTAGCAAATCGAGATTGCTACGGAAACCAATCCGTACAATCGGGGCAGCAGCGGTGCAGCGGCAGCAGCAGCAAATCGGCCACGGCGGCGCGTGAGGTTCACGCGCGGTCTTCCGGGGCGGCGCGTGGGGCAGCGTGCGGCTTCGGCTCGTGCGCTGCTCTTCGATTCCTCGATCTTTGATCTTCCTCCTCTCGGATTTCACCTCGTATACTTCGATCTACTAAAACGTGGCACTAGACACGAAGTAGTTAGAATAAAACGGAAGAAACGAAAAGAGGAAAAGATTACCAAAGCAATCGGCCAATGGATGGCCGATTCCGGCGAATTTCCGGCGACGGCGCGGTGGTGGCCGCGGGAGGAGTTCGGCCGTGAGAGTGGGGTGAGCGGCTAGGGTTTTGATTAGGTCTTGTGTTGTTGTGCAAGGCCTATAAATCAAGTATTTATAGTCCCTTGCATAAAACCCTAACGGGCTTAAGTTGGACCGGGCCCAACAGCTTAAGCTCGTTTGTTCCTTTACTTGCTCGTCTCTCTCAATTCAATGATCGGAAAATTGCAACAATTACATTTTCGGAATCATTATAATATCCTCGTCATTACGAGTGCCAACTCTCATTTTCCAACTTTCCAAAAGTGGAAACCCTAGTTCAGTGCACTTTCTAAATTTGGAAACTTCCCGATTTAGAAAGTTCACTAATACGTTCGCCTATTCATTTCCTTTTCTTATTCTCATTCATAATTCCAAATTACGAATGTTGGACTCAATCATATTGACTTCCAATCATGCAAAGATAAACTATTTTATCTCTGACCGTTTATTCAAAGATCTCATGTGCACGAGCAGTGTGACCCTCGATGGTTCAGGTGTAAGCTAGCCGTGGGCCCACAACTCTTTGTGGTTAAAACTCGTCCCTTAGAGTTACGATTAAGATGAAGCTCGTTTCACCTTAATCACCCAACGAATCAAGATTGGCGTCTAGCAACTACGCGTCATGATTCCCTAGATACAAATGAAGTGCCTGCAAGAACCTTCAGATATAGTTAACGTACAGTACGGTCCCTTCGATACATATGTCCCGATCGAACTAGAGGCATTGGTTCATCGAGACCTCTTTATATGTTCGATGACGGTGCGATCGTTCTAAGTGTTGTAATCCTTACGTGCATGACTTAGAGAATCGAATTCTCTAATCATCACTTAGTCAGCTCTGGCCAGAGACTTAGAATGATTACAAACTTTCAGAACACACAGGACATCCAAGACTATTCTAGCAATCGAATCCCCGACTACAATGCACAGACCTCTCACTAGATTTCGGACTGCACGAACACTGGCCCTTGGGATGGTCCTCGGTGGAACTCAGGGACAGGTCACGATACAGCTGGTCCTCTAGTGAAGTCACGGTGATGTCTAGGTCATAAGGACTAATGGTGTACAACTATACCATAGATATCTCTACTCGATTATTGGGAACCACTTAGAGATTTCTAGGGTGAGGAGTTCAGTGAACTCGTCAACTTACGAGCACCCACTTATGCATGCCGATATCACAATACCGTTTACTGATGAGATGCAGTACACATACACTAAGTGCTAGTCTTAATGGGAAAGGCCGATATCCTCACTAGTGGCGTAACCCTTCGACTAGGAACACGTTTAACAGTTATAATACTTGAGTAAATATCTCACGATCCTAACGATCAATTACTAGTACTTGTAATAACTGTAAGGACTATATCTATGCTTGTGACAAAGGGACAAAGATATAGAATGCCAAGATGTTTTATCATTAATGCGAATAAAGGTTTGTTTATTACAATAATAAGTACGAAAGACCACAGCCACATGTTGGCTTGTTGGTCACCTACTCTAACAAAATATCCTCTGTTTTCTCGCTAATTATTTATTGTCCAGTCTTAAGAAAGCTACTCGGATTATTTGTTGCTCAAGTTGAAGAAAAATTGTCCCGAGTTCCTTGGGATGATGCATAAACAGCCATCATTGGATCCATAGCACCAAGTGATCAAAGGTATACTTCAATTTTTTTTTTTCTCTTTCTATTTATGAACTAATTTGTATCAAGGGTTACTTGCATTTCGCCATCTAGACTTTGCCCGTTTTTGCACTTTCCCACCTCAACTAAAAAAAGTTGCACGGTGGCACCCAAACATTCATTTTTGACGCACATAACCACCTGGAGGGAATATTCTGGCGATTCTTTCCACTTTCCGGCACACGCACGCTGCACATGCCAAAGTACATGGGCTTTTTCGTCTTTTCCTTTAGCATCCTCCTAAATGCCCTAATTCCGCCCTAATTTTCCCTCCATCTCAATTTCTCCAAGTTTGATTTCCCTCCTCTTCACTTCCTCTCCTCTTCTCTCATATTTTGTCTGCATTTTTTTTTCTTTTTCTTCTTGTTCTCTCTTCGTTCTTTCGCTCTTTTGTTTAGATTCTGGACATGTCACAAAGTAGTGGAGTCCAGGTCAATAATACATGCTACTGTGCAAGAATGGCAATAATGACAACATCTTGGACCGATTTGAATCCAGGGAGGAGATTCGCTATATGTCCCAAATATAAGGTATGAATTTCTTGTAAATTTCGTCAATGTCAATCTTATTTTGAATCCATGAGGAGATTTGCTGATTTTGAATTCTTATTATGTGTTCTGTTTTGTCCAGCAAATTGGGGGTTGCAAATACTATGTGTGAATTGATTTGTTATCTTTTTATATATGGTGGGATTGCAATATTATTAAATAAAATTTCCTTTCAATAGTGCACATCAAAATTTATGAGTAGGAGAATCCGCTTAGTTCAATTAAAACAAACTATCTTAAATGATTAAGCAATTAAAATCAATTATGTAAATTCGGAATATATATATATTTGCAACGTTTCAAAAGGAAAATTTACAAATTCAACATGTATAAATTATGAAATCTATATAATTGATTGGCATTATATATACTGCATAATCTACTGCATGTCTGCATAGTTCGAAATATACTATATATTAAATAAGGTATTCGAAATATACTGTTTAATCAATATATAATATATTGTATTTACAAATTGGAAATATGGTATATTATAAATTGTTAAAATTTCAAATTTCAAAATATTGCATATTTATTAAATAGTATAATTATTTTTAATTTGAAATATGGTATAGTAAAAATTATATACAAAAAATATTGTATATTTATTAAATAGTTCAATAAAAAAATACATTTTATTATTATTATTTTTAATGGAATGGATATTCGAATATTCCAAAATATTGAATATTAAAAAAAACAACGTTTTCCTTTATTTTAATATTTTAATATTAAAAAAAATATTTTTTTTTCTGAAAAATATTTGAATATTCGTATATACAAAATATACTGTATATTTATTAAATAGTTCAATTAAACAATAAAACAAAATTTAATAATTATTTTTAATGGAATGGATATTCGAATATTCTAAAATATTGAAAATTAAAAAAAAAACGTATTCCTTTATTTTAATATTTTATATTAAAAAAATGTTTTTTTTCTGTAAATTATTTGAATATTTGTATATACACAAAATATTGTATATTTATTAAATAGTTCAATTAAAAAATAAAACATTTTTTATAATCTTTTTATTGGAATGGATATTCGAATATTCCAAAATATTGAAGAAAAAAAAACGTATTCCTTTATTTTAATATTTTAATATTTAAAAAAAAAAAAATTCTGAAAATTATTTGAATATTCGTAAAAAAATTGAGTTTCATGAAATTTTTCAATAAATATATTTTGAAATATTGAAAATATAAATTAGATTTTTTTATTTCGAATTTATAAAATATTAACTTTGGAAATAATATATATACATGTGGTAATTATTTAAATGAGTGTATAAATGTTAAATAGGAAATATCTTAAATACATACCAAAATAAAATTAACAGCTCACCAATTGTGGAATCCACCTCATCAATTGAACTCCAACTAAGCAATTTTGATAAATAATATCATCATTTGCCACATATCAATCATTGAGGGCATAGGTACTTAAAGAAAAAAAAACCAAACAAAATTCAATCAATTCCTAGCTAGACGAGTACATGTGTATAATAATGTCGTGAAGGAAATATTTTACAAATTAGTAATATTTAATCATTTTTCTTACTTCTCTAATCATGTAAATTGGTTTGGAGAAAGTAAGTATTTATATATATATATATATTTCAACCGAATTAGTTGAAGATTAATCATGGAAAATTTTGAATAAAATATCTTAATTATTAATTTGTATATAAGGATTAATGACATTCTATATATTAAAATAATGTTTTATAGTGACAAACTAGTAATACACCCGTACGATGCACGTATTCATCGTAAAATAAATATTGAATAATAAAAAAGGTTATCGAAATAGTAATATTAATTGTTAATAAGTAAAAGAAATAAGTAGAAAATATTCAAAAATAAAACTAATTTGTATGGTGTAAGTGATGAAATAAGTCGATATAAGTGAAAAAACTAAACATCGAAGGTTTTAATTTCCATATACAAAAGAGCGAATATATAGTTGGTCACAAACTTGTACAACCATAATGACATGAAAGTTGAAAACTTGAATTGTTTGATACCAACCGCCCTAAACCCATGCAACAAATCCGATACAATGCAACTGTTTAATGGTATAAAATCATTGTAAAAAAATTACCAAAACAATACCAATAGAACTGACCTGCATATGTTGTACAAAACACGAAATATGTAAATTGTTACCCAAACAATACCAATATCACTGTTTAATGGCATAAAATCATTGTAATAAAATTATCTTCATGATATATAGTGAGCGGAGTCCATAGCAAGTTCCTAGTACAATTAAAATAAACCTACAAATGAGGAATAACAAAACATATAAATAATAGAATATAAAGGTCGTCAATGAATATTGTAATTTTTTGTATATAGAATTACCTTCATATACGCTGAAAAACTTTCTTGTATACAACATTATTTGTAACATTGGTCCTATCACCAGATTTCGAGTCAAATAAAATCGTTATGCCACTTCGACTCTTAACTCTCGAGAGTGCGACATAGAGTTGCCTGTGACTGAAAACAGGTCTCGGCAAATACAGACCCACGTGAGAAAGAGTCTGTCCTAGACTTTTATTGATTGTCATTGCGAATGATACAATCAGCGGAAACTGACGTTGGAGGAATTTAATAGGCAATGTAGAGTTGGACGGTACCAAAGTCATTCTAGGAATGAACACCATATCACCAATATGTTTACCGGATAGGAACCTGCAGTTGAAAACGTGTTTTCCCATATTAATAACCTGAAGCCTTGTTCAATTGCACAATCTTCTGGCCTGATCAATATTTATGATAGCATAACGGGAATACCTCTTTCCAATGTAAAATTATGCGGTGGAATTCCGGAGTATGATATGGTGTTGACAAACTCCGGTGAGTATATATATGCGTTGACATCCGACAATAACTCCTCCTTGCACATACTATCGGAGCTGAAATAGACCTTCTCCTCTCCAGTTATGATCGACAAAAAATGATCGTTCACAAAACCGACAATTTCATTAGTGGGTGCAAGAATTGCTCTGCCTTCGAAATACTCGAGAGTGAAAAGGTTGGTCACCAGATCGGGATAGACAAATTCTATAAGATCCAAAAAGGGATCTGAAGAATTCCGAATCAGCATGTCATCGGGAAATTCAAATGTGGCATCACCGTCATTTACCTCGCCACCATCGCCATTGCCGATTCTTAATATCCATTTCGCAAATTCTCTTATTTCATCTGCATTGGCGGAAGAGGAGGACAACTCAAGTCTCATGTTCTTGTTCAACTTCATAACCTTACATTGTATCAACAACGGTGATGAATTGATTGTAGCATAAACAATGTCTTGTCTCAACGCTTTCAACACAACTGTCAGAATTTGCCGAAAGTCCCCTCGAAGCACTACAACCTTGCCTCCGAATGGAATATCTTAATCAAGTATAGATTTCATTGTTTTGTCGACTACTTCGAAACAGTACATGTGCATCATCGGTGCCTCGTCCCATATGATAAGCTTTGCTCTAGACAACAATTCTGCCTGTGGGCTCTGTTGTTTGATGATGCATGTGGAGCTGTCATGTACAATTATTGGCAGTCCAAATCTCGAATGAGCAGTTCTGCCACTTGGAAGTAGAAGCAAAGAAAAACCACTGGAAGCAACATTTATAACTATTTCGCCTTTTGAACGGATAGCAGCCGATAAAGTTTTCCATACGAAAGTCTTTCGTGTTCCTTTATGCCCATAAAGAAAGAACAATCCACCTATGTCATTTGTAACAACATCCATGATATCATCGAACACTTTTTAATAAATAGTTTCCTCCATTGAGTTCTAATAAATATTTGATAATAAAAAAATTCTCCAAATAATAAAATGAATGGTTGATATGAAATACAAAGCAGTAGAAAACTATTAAATAAAAAACTATTTCGTATAGTATAAGTGATCAATTAGCCAAAATAAGTGGAAAAGTTAAAAATCAAAGGTTTATTTACCGTATACAAAGAGTGAATACACCGTTGGTCCCAAACTTGTACAACCATAACGACCAATTAATTCAAATTCTTAATTTGATCCAAACAATTATTGTTATTGCGTTTGATAACAAAAACCCTAACGCATGTATCTAATACAATGCGAGTAACCCATATATTTTGTACAGTGGTCATACGAAATAACAAACAATTACCAAAACAACAACAATATAAATGATTAATGAAATAAAATCATTTTACACTAAATTTACCTTGATAAAAAATCTCGAGTGGAATCGATAGTAAGTTCATAGTACAATACAAATTATGAATAACCATACATATAAGTAATAAAAAATTAAACGTTGCTATTTAATAATGTATACAATTTTACGTAGTTACCTTAATATATGATGAAAAGTTTCCAGGTGTACCACATTGTTTGTAACGTTAGTCGAATCGCTAGATTCCTACTTGATAAAAATCTTACATAGGGGTTATTTAATTGAACATGTTGCACACCAGATTTGGATAAACAAACTCTATAAGATCAAAAAAACGAATCGAAAGAATCATGAATCAGCATGTCATCGGGAATTTCAATTCCCGTACTGTTTTATTAATATCAATCTTAATTATAATCCTCAATTTATTTTATGCTACACCCGATAAAATACACCGGGTAGATCTTTACCATTCATATGCGCACAAATATACAAACACATACATTGGTGTGTGGATCCAAGGTAAAAAAAATCACCCAGTGTAGTCTTCATCGGCTGTAGCAGAGAAATAACCCATAATCCTCATACTAATATTAATACTAATAATATTATTACATATATCATATGATAATGCTAACTTTAATATACTAATGTCAATACTAATAATAATATTAATATACCAATAACAATAACAATACTACTACCAGTATCAATACCAATACCAATACCAATACCAATACCAAAACCAAAACCAAAACCAACACCAGCACCAACACCAACACCAACACAATTACCATTACCATTACCATTACCATTACCATTACCATTATCATTACCAATAACATTACCATTACCGTTACCATATCCCTTACCATTGCTGTTAGAATTGCCATTATTATTGCCATTACTATTACCATTATCAATACCATTACCATTGCCATTACATGTACCATTATCAATATATCAATACCAATACTAATATCAATACCAATACCAATATCAACACAAATACCAATACCAATATTTATACCACTATCAATACCAATACTAATACCGATATTAAAATCAATATCAATATTAATACCAATACCAATAGAAATATCAATAACAATAACAATACCATTACCAATACCATTACAATTATTATTACCATTACCATTACTAATAATCTTAATCCTACTCCTAATGAAATT